CAGTGTGTGTGCATCATGCGTTAATGTGTCCACATGTCACAAGTATGAATGGATGACGAGCTGACTGGTTTTGTCAGCGAGCCAGTGGCCAAGCTGTGCTGTCTCCTCCCCTTCTGCTCACTGACAGTTGGACCCACGCCCCATTCTCTCCAGCCATTACACCATCCATACTTAACTTCTCCTTCAGCCATATGTTAACTCATCCATTTATCTCTCCCTGAAATTCTGTAATGAGCTTTAGTTTTGAGTTTTACTCTAAAGTTAAAATCAAACAAATAAGGTACAATTACCGGTTGAAAGTAACACGCAGAAGCCCTAAAGAAGCGTCAAAATGTCAAAGATTAAGATTATGTCACAGAGAAAACAAAATGAATAATGTTTTGCTCAATTTTACTAAATGAGAAAAAGACTTCCTTAAGTTTAGACACTACATCTCATTGAAAGTTGACTTCTGCCAGTACGATGGTGAGGAAGATGAAGATTAGATGACTGTCTGATTGAGAGAGTACATTTGTGAATTAGTTTGAAAAAAAAACTAAAAAATCTGTAAGATATCCCTGTCTGATTTGCTTCTTATACATAAAAATACACATTTGGTAAACATCAACATAATATACTAAACTGTTGACGTCTGTCAAATAAAGAAGGTTGTGGTGTGCAAGGACTGGTGTGATGAAAGGTATTAAAATATCCCTTTATATCAACATATTCAGTCATTAAACCATATTTCTGGAATTCACGTAATAAAATGTTGTGATTAACGTTTTAAAAGTTTTTGAAAGAAACAACAATATGATAGAAAGAAATATGTTGATGTCAACCGTCGTAGATATTTTGTCAAGGCAGGTGAAGCAAAGCCATTCCGGGGTCTTATTTTCTTGATTGTCAAATACTTTTATCTGTTATCATCTCAATATCTGTAGGCTGTTTGGTTGCGTGGCGCTGCTAAAAAGGTTATCCATTCCCCGTGTTGTGTTAATTAGAAACAAAAGAAGCTGCAAGACTCGGGGGCGGGGGGGCTGGCACTGCCACTGTGCTCTCTTTCTGTCTGTCTCCTCTACGTTTCTCTTTTACTCGTCTCTGTTGCAGAGAATTACATGGCTTATGCTCCATCCCTTCTCGCAATCACTCATCCTTCCTCTGTCTCTCGTTTGTTTTTCTGTCCATCCAGCAGCTCATGCATGCACTGTAACGCCCATGTTTGCATAGCCACCCGCGTTTTTTTGTCTGACACACATGACTGCCCTGTTGACTTTGATCCTCAGATCTCAGTATCAAGAGACCATTCACTCACTCGCCTGGAGGGTGGGGTGGTGGTGGGGTGACAGAAATGTCTGTGCTTTCCTTCCATGTGCATGAGAGAGAAAGCACAAGATGCAATAAGTGGAGAGCGAGAGATGAAAGACCTTGTGATCCAATATTTTCCCCCTCTGAGATTTTGGGCTGGTTTCTCTGTTCAGTCGCTCTGTGACATGTGTGACATGGATCTAACCTCTTTGCATCTTTGTTGTTGCCTGGCTGTCTCTGGTCCTCTCTTCTCCATCACTGGACTCTTAGCCACACTGATGAAACTATTGATGCTGCCAGTCTTTTGTTTGCTTGTCCGTTCAGCCATTCAGATCCAGGGCTGTAATTTAAAGAATCAATTGCAAGCTGATGGAACTATGCTAAACTGGCTCTCGTCTTCTGAAAATGGGATGACACATGTGAGCACTAGTGACTGCTTTGCCTCATTTGTCCATGTAGCCCCTTTCCCAGCCTCCCTCTCTTGCTTTCTATTATAACGTACCATCTGCACCTGCAAATTACACCATAATTACAAGTAATAAATCTCATGAAACGTTTTCCAAACACAACATCAAATTTGAATTCCAAGGTGAAGAAAATGATTCTCTAGCTTTTAATTTGGACGAACACAACGCAGTTCCTTGGAGTCTGGTGTTAAGACGTCATGTTTTATCATTCACACAGCTTAATTATTAGTATTTTTTTTTAATTTTGCTTGCAACCATCTTCGTCGCAGTTAACATAGTTCCAACTTATTGATCTATTTAGTGTGGCAGGATATGACACTGATAGGAAACCCTGTGGGTCGAAACATTGCCAATAAGCCTGTCCACTCACAGGCTCCTGTTCTGAGGTCTTCTGCTAATGATGTCCACTCCACCACGATAACCACCATACATTACAAGACAAATTATCTCCCCGTCAAATAGCCAATTTGGATTAGTGTCAGTCTTGCGCTCTCATTCGACCTCTGCTTTCTGATTAGGTGGGAGTTTTTTTTTTCTCCTTCCCATTCCTCTTGCACCCCCGTTTAGTTATCGAGAAATTGAGCAAATTGACTATAAACTGAACTGCCGAACACAAGTAGAACACAAGTAACAAGATGGATAAAAGAAAGAAGGTGTGTGTTCATCTCCCCACCTGTCCATCTGTCCATGTGCGCGCGTTTGTGTTTGTGTCTGTGTGCCTCCGTGAATGGTGTCCAAGCGCCTGCTAATAAAGGCTTAATGAAGTGCCATGGAGATAGGTGATTGGAGAGAACTGTCCACACTCACAGATGTGAAACTTAATGAGAGAGTGAGGAGCCATGTACAGGAGCCAGGCCAAGAGAGAGGATGGCCACCTGGCGTTTATACTACCATGAAGTTGTGTAGGTGGTGGATATGTGTGTTTGAGGCTTTGATAAAAGGTGAGCAAACAGTTAGTTAGTGTGTGTTTAAATGCAGTTGTTGTTGGTGTTCTCCCTTTCATCACCATGCATTATTACTGTTTAAAGCCATTTGCCAACAGATCACATTTTGTCGCTCCTTTTGCAGGTGGAAGCAAGTGAGGTGTAAATGTGTTTTTCAAATAATTTCTTGTGACTGATAATTGTAGGGTAATTAATGAAACTGTTGTACTGTATGACGCTAGAAAGAGCAAGGGTTGCTTCACAGATTTACATTAGTGTGTTAATCAACAGCTAATCTTGCAATAAGCAGGCAGTTGTACAGTTAAGTCTTCACATTAAGCCTCATTTCTCTTATTTCAATTAACTCAAAGGAGGCGCTTAGAGGAAGCTTAGGAAGCCAGCTGCTGCCTCTGTTGCATTTGGACAGCTCATCTCTCCCTGAGTCCTCAGTAGCATCAGTCTCTCTGCAGGGAGCCCTGCTGCCAGGTAGCTAGCTAACCACCAAAGGCTCATTCTTAACAATACACCTTAGCCTCAGGTGAGAAAGTGGCACGGTGTAGGGCTGCTCATAGCACTCATTAGTCACTGGATTAGCCCTGATTAGCCTAGCCGTTACTCCCACTGATACTCCATGCTAATGCTAATTATGCGTTTACCACTTTACCCTTTTTAGACAAGCTGTGGGCCTAGCTTTATTAGCTTTTTATTCTCACATGACTTTTTCTTGGCTGCGGCTTCAACATCTCTTGTACGCCATTGTGTTTTTCTCTTCAGTGACTGAATGTAAGCTAATTCAGCAGGTTTTTATCATATATTATGCCTTTCATAAGGAGTGGAGATAGGGATGTTGCTTTTTAGGCAGAAAATAATGATTAAAAAAAAGTATGTCAAGGTAGACTACAATACCTACCTGAGCAGACTGAGATTACTAATGCAAGCTGTTGTGAAATGAAAAACAATGTGAGAGCATAATTAAGGAGGAACCTGATTTTACGCACGGTCAAGCAAACAAGCTTTGTGGGAGCTAAAAAGAAACAAAGTTAGCTGGCAGATCAGAGCTTTAACTTCACTCCACAGGAGTGTTCATAAAGCGAAGCCATGATGAGTGTGACATTAAAGCAATGTGAAGGCTGTCACAGGCAAGTGACATAGTGAAATTGACTTTGATGAGATTGAGATGAGGCAGAGGAGCCTTTAACTCACACTGTCCTTTCATCTCCGTCATTGTCAGTCAAAGTTAGACATGGAGGGTGGAGGAGAAGGTGGACAGGAAATGTGGAGGAGACGAGTGAGCAGATAACTGCGAGGAGCACGGGGAGCTGAAGATTAGTGGTGGCTTGTGTTGAAGTGGGTTCCATGCTGATTTTCAGTGGCAGCTGTACTTGCTGACTATAACCTCTGGAGATGCTGACACAAATCCAAGCTGATCTGCTTGATTTTGGTGAAATTCGGCTCTCACGATCTCACAGTATGCTATATATGTATCTCAGCAGCTCTGTAAGCGGAAAAAAAAAAAAGAACTCCAAAACTTGTGTGGACTCAGCCGTCTGCTTGTTCAGGAGACGTTGTTGTGTTTATATGTACAGCCACTGTTTCAGACTAAGTGCAGAAAAAAAAGCCTCCCTTGGAAGACATCAATGTACCTGAGTGGACATTTGACCTCAATTCACCCACAGGCTGTTCTCTTAGAGGACAGAAATATTCAAATGTGAGATGTCTGACTCTGACAGATTATTCTATTTGATGTTTCTTACCTAACCAAAAAAAATCACAGGATTATGAAATGTGATTGCTTAGTATTCAGCTGGGTTTGCTTTGTGAGAGAGGAGAGAGTACATTTTTTTGTAAGCTAAGAAAAACAGAGCCTGTTTTCCTTCAGTTTTTGAAGCAAACTACATTTTCCACCTGAGATAGCAGTGCTTGCTGGCCTGGATACCAACCAGAGTGTGGTCGAAGCTTATCTCTGTCCTTTCTGCCAGTAGAAAGTGCCAGTCAGCTCCTTGCATTGGTTTACTCCTTCCTCTTAAGCCCTTGTGCTTGTTGTGTAAAGTGTTATTACAGATTGCTGCCTCTCAGATTTGTCTGTCGAACAGTGACCTTCATAGGTAACCTCAGAGAAACGACTGGTAAGAACTCATCACAGGCTGCTTTGGGGTCAGTTGGTTTATCTCCCAGTGAGAGGAAAGTTGCAATTAAAGAGTGAAGGACAATTGGTTCTAAAAAGCTTTCAAGAACGTAACTGGGTTGATGTTACACTAATCAAATCTCTTTTTTCTCTCCCCCCCTTCCTCCTTATTTCCCTCTATGTCCCTCTCTCATACAGGTGGAGCGAGAAATAGCTATTCTGAAGCTCATAGAACACCCACATGTTTTAAAGCTACATGACGTCTACGAAAATAAAAAATACTTGTAAGTACCACCAGTGGATTTTGGTCCATTTTTTATCCTTATATTGAGTCATAAATATACTGCACCCACTAAGCAATTGTAAGTTTGTGTACAACTTTTGTGGCTCACACAAATTATCACCATCAAGTGCTCTTCTGGATATCAGAACAGTCTTTAACATCATACATATCATTGGAGCAGTTTTGATTGGTGTATTATGATTGCAGGGGCAACAATGATAGCCTGGGGGGGGGGGCTTCATTAGTATTGGCATGAAGCATTTAATCTGGTCGCGCTCGCTAGGGGACTGCTAATAGGGAGAGGAAGTCTCCTCAATGTAAACACCATGACACGCTTATCAGAGGCAACACCATTGCATTCAGAAACATTAGCCCTGGAGAGTGGCAGCCGCATTAGTCTGCTGCCGCAGCTGCTGCACACAATCACACACACACACACACACACACACACACACACACACACACACACACAAAGGCACATAGGCACACAAGCACACACATAAATCGATTAGCCAACTTGAACAGCAGTGAGTGACAAGCCCATCAGTCGTTTATAGGAGCCCTCTTGATCTACAGAGGACTGTTTGTCAACTAAATTCAATTAGTTCTCATGTTGAGCTTACAGACCAGACGGGATTGCGCATGCAGCACCGTACATCTCATCCTTTAAGATGATAGGAATAGCAGAATATTGCGATTCATCCTATAATTGGATTATTAAAATCACATTTTGTGCCGATTGCTTCATCACTTTTGACAGCTGGTCACTAGTAGCGTCACAGAAGACAAATTGCTTTACATTTGCATCACCAGTGACTCGAGTGACTCTGCGCTTCACATCAGTGATGTAATTTTGCTCCTAATATTGTTTAGATTCTTACTCAGACATCTATACTTGAAAGCCAATAATTGATAGACACGCAGCATGTTTGGAGCTAACAGTCCCAGAGCTTTTAAGATTTATTATGCTGTTGGCAAAGATCCCACCACAAGCTGTTCAAACTGGTCTGTGTGTGTGTGTGTGTCTGTGTGTGTGTGCGCGTGTGCGCGCGCGCGTGTGTGTGTGTGTGTGCGTGCGTACAAGAGGTGAAAGCAAAGTGGAAAGAGTTTGATACATAGCCCGGCAATATTTTATTTATGGAGATTTCATAGCTAGAAATGAATGAATGATCACATAATGTTGATGTAGACTATGCTTTTGACAATGAAAAATTGTCTGAGAGAACATAATGCATATGAATATAATGCACAGATGCTATTTTATTTCAAATTTTTGCTGCAAGAAGATCTGAAAAAGTAACAAAATGATCAATTCTAACACACAAGTTCTTTTAATGTTCTTATTTGCCCAGCTCCCACTGGGACACACTGAGGCCAAACGTCCACTGCATCCGTGCATTATCAGTTATCATCGGTCAAAATCTGTAGAGCAGAGGCCAAGATATCCTCACCTTAGTATTGATCCAGTTCTTGAAGTGCTGGATCCTGTGACTTTACTTGACTGTCCCAGACCGTTAAAAAAAAACAAAAAAAACAAAAAAACACTTAGTTTAAACTCCACACCTGTAGCTTTTAATGCAGACTTTCCACTGAACATTAAGGGTTTAAGGGTTGTTTAGTGAGCACATGGTTTTTTCCTGTGTACTGTTTGCAACACCACAGTGTAATCAATAAAAGCGAGGAGTTGCATGTACATACACACATCCACAGCAGGGAGAGAGAGAACAAAGAGAGTATTTCACCGCCTGTCTGGGTTTCAATTTGTCCTAGTGAAGATGGAGGGAGTTTCAGCTAAGGATATACGAGCGGGCCAGTGCGGAGCAGGGACAGGGCACCGTTGGCTTTCAGCCCACAGATGCAGCTTTAGACCTGGGTCAGGGGAGATTCATCTCCTTCCCCTGTCCCTTTGGAGCGCCAGAGCATCATGGCCATACAGTCAGGTTGACAAACTGCTCCCCTCCCGCCCTGCAACCTCCACCACCTTCACCACCTGGCCATAAGAGATGTGATGGCAGGGATGATGTGTGTATACGCATGTTTTAGAAGGTGAAAGAAGGAAAAAAAAAAAAGCAATACAAGTACTGTATATGTATAGCAAGGAACTATTGAGGATTTTCCAATATCTGTCTTCCTCTTTTTTCTTTTGTCTTTTTCACTTGATTAACTGAGTGCTGAGACGAAGACTCTCACAGGAGCTTACAATGTCTGTGCTCCCAAATCCTTTATGTCTGAGAGCAGTGTGCACCACTTTTCCATCTTTTTGTAGTGTAATGCAACTATATCATCTCTCTGATGCCTCTCATGGGAGGCCAGAGTGTCTAGTATATCAGAAACCTTCACATACACTGTATTTTAATACACATGCTTCACTGTGACGGTAGGGACAGTTTACAGATGACATAGTAAAAAAAAACAGCCAACATGATATGGCTTTTGGGAGATCAGATGGTTGATCCTGGGTGTTTTGTCTGTGTATAATGGCTGTGAGAGAACTATCTTTCCCACTGCTCCAGTTTTTACAGACCTCTGAGGTCGAATGCTCTGATTCTTCTTTTCTGCATTGCTTTTTTAGAGGGCTCTGTGGAGAGCAGGGGTATTTGTTCCTGTCACTACAAGTAAAATCTTTCTTTTCTATGTGTGTATGAGAGTTTCCACTCATTTCCCATGTCTCCCTGTCTCTCCCTCTCTTTCTCTCAGGTACCTGGTGCTAGAACATGTGTCTGGTGGTGAGCTGTTTGACTACTTGGTGAAGAAAGGCAGGTTAACACCTAAAGAAGCCAGGAAATTCTTCAGACAGATCATGTCTGCCCTGGATTTTTGCCACAGTCATTCCATATGGTAAGTGCCATGATCCACATGCAGAAATAGATCTAATATAAAGGTGTGCCATGTCTTCATGTACACTTCGATGTAGGACGATAAAGTGTAGTGTTAAGGTGCACTAAGACCTAATATCAGGGCACTTGGAGTTAAAACCATAAAAGCCATATTAATTATCTGCAATCCATGAAAAAAACATCACATACAGTTGAAAAGATAAAACAACCAATAAACAACCATACCCAGGAGGTGTAACAAACTCAATTTGGTTGTCATACAACATTGAACAAATAATGAGTTTCCAAATAATGAATTCTAAAAGGATACAGATTCTTCCTGAAGTGAATCTACAATCTAAATTTCAATCAGTTTATTCATAACTTCAAAGTGCTATTTAGTTTTCAAGCCAGTGATTCAAAATGGGGATTACAGAACTGAGAAAACTTTAAATTGCTTGTTATGAAAGTGCTTTCCTTTTTTTCTTAAAGTGTCCCCCTTTAACAGTTGAGGGTGGTTGACACATTGTCAGATGGAAAGACTCAAATACACACACTTGGATCAGATACAGTGCTCAGTTTTCACTTTTAGATCTGAGCAGGAGTGACTTTTTTTGTTTGTACACAGTACATTTTCATAGTTATGCTCTACTCGGTGTTGAGTCCTTGTATTTGTTGAAATTTGCTTCCAGATAGTCACTAATGTGACACATTGTGTTTGGCTTCAGGGGGTAATTTAACTGTTTACCAGCTTGTAGACTAGAGGCAATCATATATACTTCCGAAGTCAAACATGTCAGCAGGGACTCATTTTTAGCACTCATTCGTGTGTGTGTGTGCTGCTTGTTTTAAATGTGTGTGTGTGTGTATGCGTCTATCCATTTGTTCAAAGCAGGGAGCCAGTTTTCTTTCCTCTCCTGAGAGTGTGTGCCTTTGCTCTCCAGTTTGTCCTCATGTGTCTGCATAGTGCAGAGCACAAGGACCATAGAGCAGAATGAGTTCAAGTGTATTTATTTTTACCTGGGTCACAAGTAAATCTCCAGCGACTTTGCAGGTACCAGAAAAAGAACTATAAAATGAAATGGGAACAAAAAAATTCAACCACATTCAACTAATCAGTCATCAAGAAAAAAAAAACAATACACTGCACAAGGAGACTAAGGACCCATCTGGGTCCACCACTGGTGGCAGAAAATGCAATAGATAAAACAGGGAAATAAGAAATCACAAACACAGTAACATGCCACAGCAGAGAAACTGGATCAGTAGCTGCCAGAATATTTTTTTTTAGAAATGGTAAGAGAGGCTTTTTTTAACAAGCAGCTTCACATTTCGGGCAAAAAGACTGTGTTTGCACTCTGCACAAATTGCATACCTGTGTTATAAGCAGTTATTTTAATAGTTGTGTTCTTTTATTTCTGTAATGTTTCTTTTATTCCTTTGAAAGTTATACATTCCTGGCTGCGTTTAATATGGCACCAGGTGCTGTACATGTCAAGCATATTGATGTAGCTCAAATTTCAAGTCAGACAAAACTCTGTGTACTGTTGTACGTGTGTCGCAACAGTAGCGAATGCCCAGAGTTAAGACCAGATCAAGGGTGCTACTTCACTTGCATTATTTAGAAGAATATTGAGGTCACTAGCAATTAAAACATGGTCATTATGCAGCACATTATTAGTTCAGTTCCTTGCTGCTCACTCCGCTATAATATTCACAGGCAGGGGCCTCAAATTACAGACATTAACATATCATCATAAAACCCTAGTGCAGCCTTGGCCAGGCCATGGCCGTTGTCTTTTCTCATTGACACTACAACTCCAAGCCAGCCAGTCGACTCATGATGAGAATTTATGTGATTCCATCATAACTTCTGTGTCAAGGCTATTGTGGCAGGAGATGCTGGAGAGGGAGAGAGAGACAGAGAGAGAGGGGGAGAGAGACGGGGGGGTGGTGGCTCTACCCTCCCGTGCACAGTGTAGTACACTTGAAAGTTTCCTGAATAGCTTCCTGCTGACGATGAAGGGGAAGCCAAGCCTGTGAAAAACAGTTATGGTATAATACTCCCTACTAGAACCTGGTGTTGAGTGCTAAATGCCTGGCAGATAGATTTGCATAATGTTGCAATTAAAAGGAAAGAATTAAAATGATTTGTCACGGAATGATTAGGTACTGTTGAATTTCAGTGATTTGATATACTGTGTATTGTTGTATTATATAATTTCTAGAGGATGCAATTACATTTTTTTTTTTATAGTAAAGCCGTTGCGGGACCTGTTATAGACAGTATGAGCTACTACATCCTTGTGTCAGTGACTTTACATTTCACTGATTATCAAGGGATGAGGTACACGAGTTCAGTTGATTGTTTGAACCATCAAACAGGTAGCTGATGAAGAAAAAAACAGAAGAAAACTCTTGTACCAGTGGAAATGGAAGGAAACTGCCCTACCTAAGGGAAAGAAAGTCAGAAGTCTTTTATCAGTCAGTGTAAATAACTGACTGTGAAAAGAGAGAAGAAAGCATCTGGGACTGACATTAAGTGTGTGCACATACATTGATTATCACAGCTCTTTTGTAGTAGGATTCACAAGGAGATTTATCTCACCTTTCCTGTTTTGTTTTCTTGCTATCTCCGTGTCAGAGCTAATCATTCCTCTCACTAACACTCTCAGAAAACGATGCCTCGTAAATTTATCATGAGAAGGATTATTTGGGAGTGTTGCTGCACCCTCTCGCCCTCCTCCCAACGTTAATTAGGGGCAAACAGACAGATGCAGCCCTTCTCACGTCCGTTCCATTCCCACTAATGAGATCTCAGCATCCCATCAATAAAAAGAATTCCTGCAATCATTTCTTCCATTTCTACTTGTCTGCGCAGGGGGACCTCCACGGGCCATTAGAAGGGCTCCTTTTTCTCTGTGACTCACCGTGCAGAGAGGGAGGGTAAACGCATGCTCCTCAACTCTCCTGCTCTGTGCACCTCCTCGTGTTTTTTTTCCCCCCGCTTCTTCTCGTTGCCACATGCTTCCGTTCCTCCGCCCACGTTCCCATCCCCAAATATCTCTCTTGAGCCAGATGGATGTAAGTCTGGGTATGAATGAAAGAACGTAGAGAGAAAGGGCTGTTCATGACTCAGTGTTTCCTCTGCCTGATTCAGATCGCTGTCACATTTATGCAAAGTTTTCATTTCACGTGGAGGGAGAGAACGGGACAAAGTGAAGCGCACAAGGAGAGCTGACGAGGGAGATGAGGCAAAGATAGGTGAGGGTAGGCTATAAACAGACACGGGAAAGGAATCATCAGTAAAAGTTATTTATAATGAATGCTGAGGCAGAGAGGGAAAATCTTCATTGTATGTTTATACAGATCCAATGTCAAACTAGCTGCCTATTCCCCTCTCGCCTCCCCCCCATTCCTCACTAAGACATGTGTTTGGATATTATTTGAAGTCTGCCGATGTGAAATCTGCATGACTCAGTACACAGGGATTCACTGACTGACAGACAGGTCAAAGCAGAGTCGAGAGAACAGCCCACATACGATGATGCATTTTATCGATCTTTGTGAAAGTTTCCCTCTCAATCACCTGTAGCGATGTTAAATGTGAGGGTGAGCTCCGGCAGCACAGCCTTCCAGGAGCTGCTTCGGATTCACCTCGTCGCTCAAGGTCACAAAAACAGAGCGGGATGCTTCACAGATATAATCATACTGTTGCAGATTTACCTGAGAGGGAGGTCCCAAACAGCGGCTCCGGCTGCAGCTTGTCAGCCCTGACATTCAACAACAACATACACATCTGCTACACAGTTGATACACTCTCTCTGGAGAAGTCGATGTGGCAGTCTGCCGTAACTGCAAACACGCAGCAGAGACACAGATTGATTGAGAGGAGTAAAGTGTATTTTCTTTAAACACTTGACAAGGGGGCGTGCATGTTTTTACCCACAACTGAACCAAATTAACTGGTGATGAGAAGTTTAAACAAAAGAAAGAGTAGAGTAAGAGAATATAATTTGAGTGTCGTTATCCGTGCATTTAAATATACCATAGAAAGCACTGTATGCTCTAATTTCTTATAATAAACGGAGTGCCCTATGCTTCTATTTTCATGTGGGAAGTGAAGGTATATTGAATTGATTTTTTCTAAAGCCACAGTGAGACCAAACCCAGTATTCAACCTGAGGTCAAGTGAACTAGAGTTGACACCTAACACACCCCTGTATCACCTCGCAGTCTATTTTTCCACCCACTCCCATGACACCCCTTTGATTAACTTGATCTACAATACACAGTGCATTTTCATGAGCATGAGCACACACACTTATACACTTTCAAAGCCATACACTTCGACTATAACATGCTCTGTCCTCTTTCTCACCCCTCTTCTGTTTGTTTAATAATGACTTCGGTCTTTCCCCTTATAACCCACTTAACACTGCTGTGTGTGTGTGTTTAATTCAATGTGACTGTGTGTGGGTGTGAGATAAAGACTATCTGTCACATAAAGTACCTCCAACCATCCCACTAAGTAAGGCAGAGATTGCGAGTGAACCTTGGAGGAGATCCCCGTGACTAAAACACATAGCTTGATCAAACGTGCACACACACACATTCAGACAGTCACACATCCTCCTTTTCCCTGACACTGATGTGCAGATTATTGCCGCCACCTACATGTGCACAAACAAACACCTGGTCCAGAAGTCACATTAAACCCACGCAGTGGCATAATCATGCTCATCATCCGTATCCACCTTTCTTCCTCTCACACGCACTCCCTCTGTCATTAGCTGCTTTGTTCAGCTTAGAGAGCCACATGCACCCGTCTATGCCGTCACTTTGTCATAGCTCCACAGAGCGAAATAAAGCAAGCCACGGGTCTTTTAGGGTAGCCAATATTGCTCAAATTTTCAGCCATAACAAATGTAATTGTTTATTAGAGAAGTGATAAATCTTGAGATATAGTACAGTTTTTATAGATATAATAACCAGTGATAATGATAGTGAATTCTATAATTG